AAATAAAATGATGTCATAATCAAATAATACAATTTAAAAAATAAAAATTACAAAAAATCACTAAAATAAAAAATAGAAAAAATTTTAGGCACATATTTAATGTTATATATTTATAAAAACTAATATTGGATATATCTCTAATATTATGCAGTTATTGTATTGAACTAAAATAAGCATAAGAAATAATTTTATCAATGATGGAGATGTAATATAAAAATTAATGTCAACCTAGAAATCAAACTATTTTTTATTTTCGGGTGGTGGGTTAGTGGTTTGGTCAAATAGATTAATCGATGATATGATCGTTAAATAATAAATCTTAAAAAAATAAAAAGTACAAATAATCAAAATAATATATATTAATTATGTCAAACAAAAGTCAAGTGTGATAAATAATTATTTATATAATATAGATGAAATATATAATTTAAAACTGATCAGAAAGTAAAGCTATTTTATTATTTAGATGGTGGGTCAATAATCCAACTTTTCAAAGAAATTCATGATGCCATAATTGAATAATAGATATTTTAAAAAAGATAGAACATAAAAAATGAAAAAAGTATAAAATTTTATCAAAACATTTGAGAACATTTCTAATGTTGTATATTCATCATATTAAATAAAATAATTATTAAAATAAAAATTATTTTTATTTATTCAAAAAATGAAATACAAAGTTTAATAATAATAATAATAATGATGATGATGATGATGATGATGATAATGATGATAACAACAATTGTTTTTATAATTTAAAACGTATAGGTGCAAATGCACGTACTTAATTACTGGTTATGAAAAAAGTCAAAAACTAATTAAAAAAAATGATGGTTGCAGAAAATGCAAGCTTGTGGTTTTGGGGCAAACGTACGTAGAGAAAAGTTGTGTAGAACTGGGGTTTAACAGTTATTAGCGAAATTTTTTGAATTCCACAATTGGGATTACAGAAAAAAAAATGATAGTGTAGGGAATAAAGATTGATTTGAATAAGATTAAAAAGTTCGGGCACATCCCAGGTCGGCTATTGTCGGAAGACCCTAGGTTGGGCTGCAACCAATGACTTCCAAGGTGTTGTCAAGTGCTGTACTGCCACGTATCACGATGTGGTGCAATCAAAATATCAAATACCCCTCTTATCACCACGTGTCATGGCATTACTGGAGATTAATTCGACCCCATCACATGTTAATATGCGTTACATTTTAAAAATAGTATAACATTTCGTATTATGCATTTTAAAAATAGTAAAATACAATAATATAAAATGATAAAATATATCGAAATTTTTTCCATTTTTGTTTTTATCACCGTATCCTTAGAAATCCATATCGTTACCATTTTATTCATTTCCATGGAAGTTACTCGCATATATTTTCACATATTTTAATAATTCAGCATTTTAAATATATGCCAATGGCTAATAACTTGATATATGATAAATTACTATGAAATGAAAGAGCAGTTTTCAATTTGCATAATCGGGATATCATCTTCACAGAACGCATGTTACACCGACGTCACAGCACATCCCACCATGTACTGGAAACATCTCATCATGAATAACAATACACACAAGTATGAGAAAATGCACGACTGGGGCATGTTGTGAGGAACAGATTTCTGCCTTTAAATATGTCACATGATAATACTATCAAAAATCAGAAGTTTGAATCTCTTGCCCATAAGAAGTAAAGAACCTATTCACACTTCATTACAATCTTAGATTGAGAACATCTTTCATATTTGCATATTATCATTCATAAGAAAATGTTCCCAATGTACAGAGGCAAAACTGCATTGACATCCATAGGATCTGTCAGGACCACCCAATTAGAGAGCTGGTTGTATAGCTCATTGACCGTATTGGGAACTGGGAAGCAATCAATTGTGGTGGATAGTCTACATTCTACACCCAAACACCAAATTTGAGTGTTGTGGGTAGGATAAAATGGTATATCCTCAGTGGGATACTTTTGAAGGTGGGCGAAACCAATCGCTCCTACGTACAAGATATTAATGTAGACAGGGCTGTTCATTCAACCTGTTCAGGCTTGGCCGAACCATAAGAGTAGCCAAGGCTTCGGGGTGAGGAAACAAATGCCCATGCATGTTTTGAAGTCCTGAAATTAGCAATGGAGTGGGGATTTTTTTTTTTTTTAAATTGAGAAAATTCCTGATTAGTAACATGTAGTGTCAGTTTGGTCTCCGAGCTTTAAAACACGATAATTCAGTTGCCGTTAAGTGGTATTTGAAAAGACACAAATGCCCTTCAAGTGCCATCTATTTTTTTATTTTTTTTTATCAATCATCCAAACATGAATAAAAAATGAACAGCCCCAAATCCTTACATCTATTCAAGAAATTAGGGTCACCAGAACATTGTAGAATAGAAGAGACAAGGATTTGGAATTGTTCATTTATTTTCAATGTTTGGATGTTTGATAAAGAGAATTAGATGACACTTCAAGGGCATTGGTGTCTTTTTAAATGCCACTTAACAGCTGGTTAACAGCAGGTACTGGATTGACACATTTTGAAAGTTCAGGTACTGAATTGTCACGTTTTAAAGTTTGTAGACCAAAGCGGCACTAGGCCCAAGATACATGGTACTAATAGGGAACTTTCCCTTTTTAATATTATCCTTGAGGGAGATGCACTTCATGTTTTATATCATGGCCGGTTGCAAGAATCTGGTTGACAAATTCACTCAATGTTCAATGAAGCATATTCATTGCTTGGTAATCAAGCAGCTCATTAAGGTTGTGTTTGGTATAATTGCTACTACTTGTAACGTTACAATGCTATCATTGTTGTTTCTTCATAAAACATCAAATTTGGTGTTTCAAAACCCAATCCAATGCTTACATTTTTTAGTGGAAGTGGTTATCTGGTGTGATGTGACAAGACAAATTTATCAAAAATTTGTATTGAACAACCAAAAGCCTTGCCAGTAAAAGTGTCCATGGTACCAAACACAACCTTAATGTCTCGGCAGGCAGTGTCATACTCTTCTATTTGTGGTCTTTTATTATGCTTCATTTTCTTCACAATGTAATTTTTTGCTGAGAAACTCACTGAAAATTAATGAAATGATTTATTCAAACTACGATACCAGACCACTAAGATTTAAACCCATTTCTCTTATAAGGAGAGGAAGCTTATTAGGCCATATGTATTTATTATGTCTACAATTTTATATATGTACAAAAATCATGTATGCTCTGTTTGTATAATACTAGACTAAAAGTTATGCAATATATGGGAATGGGTCCAATCAGTCAAACCAAGGTTGGGTTCAGGTTGATCTATTTGGCAAGATTTCAATCCGATCATAGGTTAAGTTTTCAAAACAATTAAATCATATAACAAGTCTCTTGCCATGGGTGTTATCCACTTATCTCTAGGGGCTGAAGCAAATTCTTCTTAAGTTGGGATGAATTTCTGTTCAACATCTCAACTACACTGGACGTGGGTGTCATCTCAATTTCCTACATCCTTCAACAGAAGCTTTTGGACGAATTTCTGTTCAACAGACACGTGTTACCATAAACTATTTGCTAGAGCATTTGAGTTCAGAATCTACAAAGAATCAACATTCAATCTTCAAAAAAGGTTGAGTCTTGCCATTTAATGGCTTTTATCTTTTGCAATTTTTGTATCATGTAGTTATGGTATCAAGTTCAAGAATGCTGGTCGTTTGTTGCTCACTTAAGCAAGAAATGTATTGTAGGAATAGATACAGAATAATCAAGAGAAGATCGGTTCCATCAGACTAGTAGTTAAAATTAGATTTAGTACATGTTTTTTTTTTTTTTTTAAGTATTCTATTGCATTAAAATAAGAACAAAATTACATCAGCACCTATGCACCCCAAGAGACTGCATAATGGGAATACACAAATGTGAAGAAAGAGTTTATGCACGCGCAAACAGACTATAAGCATTAAAGTAAGAGGTATGGGGTATTGCCAACCATTAATGGAGGGTGCCCGAGTTTCCCTTGTAGCTCTCATCTGGAGGGCAGACTTTGTCTTCTGAAAATATGACCATTACTCTCTCCCCAGATTATCCAAATGATGGCCCTTTTTCTTATAGCTCTTGGATACCAATTGAATAATTGGCCAACCATAGGGTGAGTTGACCAAGCCAGGATCTCAATCTTTATTCTTTGTTCCATATTTTTCTGCAACAATTTGTCTCCAATGTCCACCCTTATAAGTGTTGAATCTCCAAAACCAGTTGCCTGATAGAGCAATGTTGATAACTTGATATCTTTCAACCTTCTTATTCTTAACTCACCTGGATTTCCATGAGAAAACACTTTTTTTTTTAATTGATTAGGTGGAACTTGAAATCATACCTCTACCCCTTCCAGAGAAAGTCCCTCATTTTCCTTTCTATAAGTTTGGCTACACCTGGAGGAATGTGAAACATGGATAGGTAGTAAGTGGGCAGTGATAATATAGCAGACTATTGATGAGAGTTGCTTTGCTTCCTTCAGATAGACACTTGTATTCCCAAGTAGACAACCTCCTTCAGATAGACGCTTGGCCCCTAATGGATTTTGAAATGCACTTAGGGCTTAGCTCTCAAGGGTAAGCCTAATTATTTAGAAGGAAGTTTGCCTATGTCACAACCTAGCATTTCAGATTAATCACATCAACACTGATTTGAAGGATTCCTAGCCTTTCGTTCTCAGTTTAAGGGATGGGGATCACGATTAAGTCCATTATCATATGTCCCCAACAAAAAGGCATTTTTAGCATACATACACCCAACCTGAACTGATACACAATCCTTCAAATGAGAAGAGGTCAATGATATCCAAAAAGTGCAGTCCAAGTAGAAGTGTAGAACTAAAACGGGGATAACGTGGTTCCATACCTTTGCAAGACTCTCGTACATCTATGACAAAATTGCTCATCAAGAAATAAAATAATGGATCACAAAGTGTGTACGTGTGTGTGAATTGTACATTGAAAGCTGATAACCATGGAATTACAATCTTCTGGGTACAAAACAATACTAAGAAGAAAGTGAAAGCATAAAGCCTCATATTAATGACACAGAGATCTGCAAATTTGATACAGTTGGAATTCAGCTAAAAATTAGAGAATTTAACATCAACCCAACACATACAGACATACAAAAAATAAGAAAAACTTACAGCTCCATAAGAAGCGTCTGCTACTTCTATTGTCCACCATCCGCCTCCAACTTCTGAACATATGCTTTTAAAGTCATCACCAAATCCCTAGCCGGTGCCTGGAGCGTACCAACCAATGCAGATGCAGGGCTTTGAAGCGAACCCAACAACTTGGCATAAATCTCAGCCCTCGTCGGCATTGTCTCTAGAGCCTTGAAATCAGAGGGCCCATAAAACTTTCCCTCAAACACCGCCCCCGTGAAGTCATTGTCTTCCAACTTCTTCTCTTTCTGGAAATTCCTGTACGGTTTCAGCGCCTCAGGAATCTCTTCAGTGTGGACAAAGATCCAGGCATTCATGCCCTTCATGCAAGGCTTCAGAGCCTCCCACGGCGTGCCTTCGATAGCCTTTCCGACAAGCGTGTTCTTGGCAACAACGAGCTTGACGGATTCCGGAAAACTCCGTCTGAGCTCTTGAAATTGCTTCACTGTGAAGCCCTTGTATTTGATTCCAGCGACAAGGTAACAGTTCTCCAACTGTTTCCTAACGTTTTCCACCGTTTCTTCCTTCTTGGTTCGGCTGATAGCGGCGCGGATTGAAGGGAAGTGAGAGGTTCTGTGGGTTGTCGGAAAAGCGGTTTTGGGCTTAAAAACTGTTGTTGTGAAATTGGTCCGGGTTAGCTTCTGAGAGGAAGGTGGCTTTGAGGAGGGGAATGTGCAGAGAGAAGCTTCCATTGCGGAGGAAGGTCTGGGAGAGGAAAGGGTGGAGTACGGACTCTATAGACCTTACTCTGGAGTGGGAATGGGGGAGAGAGAAGGGGTCTCTTATCTTTTCATATTTCATAATCGCCAACGTCGTCGGAAAGGGCGTTTTCGTTATTTGGAAGAGTAAAAGCGATTAGGTACTGTTTGGATTCATGTCCTTTAACGCTTTCTTGTAAAAGCTACGGGAAACAAAAGCCTCTGATCTACGGTTAGAATTTAGTGCCACGATATTCTCGGAGAATGCTAGTGCCACGATATGCGGATTTACGAGATTCCCATCAGACCATCACCGTTCCCGTTTAGATATGATCTAGTCATCTAGGCTCCATACATATAAATGACAGTAATAAAATGGAGGAGAGGCATTCGTAGGTCGTGGTGCTAGCATTTCTCGTCTTTACGCGACAACATCGATACACTGCAGAGTCCAGAGTTCCGGTCAGGAACTTCTAGACTCCAGAGAGAACGATCGATATTCGACAGTAAAATTTCAACAATCTTAAGAGTTAAGACCGGGAGACATACAGTGTAATCTCCGAGTCTCACACAGAAAGAGTTGGTATGGGGTTTTTGAGACTAGTAGCCCCGAAGGCTCTGCGTGCGCCTTCCATCTTCAATGGCTTGCCCAGCGGTTTCCCGCGCAATGAAACAGTCAGCATTCGCGCGTACTCTGCTACTATGTCTCCACCTTCGAAGGCCGTTGTCTATGAACAGCACGGGTCACCTGACCAGGTTACCAGGTGAAATTCTCCCTTCGCCGCTTCTCCCGCTTGGCAAGTTGCAAATTCGACTCGTCCATATTTAACAGATTCGGCTATCGATGTGCAGTTGCGAAATTGCGTAGTTGAGCTTTACTGGTTGCAATTTTAGTAGAGCACAATAGTTGTTCACGCTTGGGCTAGTGGATATTGCGCTCCTGACCATTTTTTTTTTCATTTCTGGTATGTACTGCTAATTGAAAATTCAAAAGGCATTTGGTGTGCTGAAACTTTTTGACTCTAGCTTCTTCCAAGGAAGCACTCAACTGAGGTTATCATCATAAGGTTATGCATTGGCTGAAATTACATCATCTCTTGAAGGACTTCTCAGTTGACTTAATTAGTAATTGGAGTGCTATAGCTGTATCCTCCCCTTCCTCCCCTGTGGTACAAGAAAGTTGGGTACCAACGCCAGGGTGAAGCTAAATTTTGATGGAAGCTCCTTGGGTAATCTAGGTCAGTCGGGAGTTGGAGTATGTTCAAAAACGAGGAAGGAAAAGTCTTGGCCCTTTACTTGGGCCCAATTGGGGTGGGAGGTTCATTAAGGGCAGAAGTAATGACCTTACTTCAAGGTTTGAGACTGGCGAAACAATGGGGAATTGTAGGGGTGCAACTTTTCCGGGTTAGGGTTGGGATTTTGTAAAAATTTCAATAGGCCCAACCTGAAACCTGAGCCCGAAATAGTGTAAACTGTTAACTTGGGCCAACCCGACTTGCACCCCTAATTAGAAGTGGAAGGAGACTCCGAGCTGGTAATAGGGTGGATGCAATCTGGAAACTTGGGAGTTTGGTCTCTTAGGCAGCTTCTAAGAGAGATTATTAGCTAAGCAAGGGAGATTGGGGTGCATTTTAAATGGGTAAGAAGGTCAGCAAATGAAATGGCTGACAGTTTAGCTAAGCAAGGAGCTACTAGGGAGGCTTTGTTTTGGGCTTGTTTGTAAGTTTTTGCTTTGATATTTCATCCATTTTGTGGGTGGTAAATATGTAATCTTTTCAATTCTTTAATGAAAGTTACCGTTTCCTATAGACGTCCTGCAGGGATGAAGAGAAGAAGGAAGCTATCTACTCTTTGATCAGTCTTAATCTTCTTATCCATAAGTGAAATGAGGTTGGCAATTACAAGTCATTCTTTTCTAGAACAACAGGGTTTCTAGATTGTTTTTATGTTTTGGTCCAATGCAAAGAAGAGGAGGGGGAGAGACATCTTTGTAAATACACATGCCCACTTTGTTCCCACCTGAATGAAGTTGAATTGGGGGAGGGGCAGGGGGTCTTCATATAGTATTCATCAATCTAGATTCTTGAGAAAATATATGATAGAAGGGGTTTAAGGGATTTAGAGTCCTCAGTTGTGACCTCTTTGTTGAATTCTAAGAAGGGATTTTCCTAGATGCCTCAAGGATTTTTATTTTTTGAAAACTGTAAAGTAAAATGCATTAATTAAAAGATCCATAATAAAGACCCCTGTACAATGAGAAATGAACAGAGGATATACAAAAAGCCATCTTATCTCTAACAGCCTTAATCCCCCCAAACGAAAACAAAAAAAAACTATCCATTCCTTACAAGCAGAAAATTAAAAAAAAATAAAAAATTACACTTGGGTATCTGCCTTTTAACATCAGGTGTATTGCCAGCCATGAATGGATCATTCCCAGAATTTTCCTTAGAACATCTTCTTTTGAGTTCTGAGTTCCCTCAAATAATCTGTTATTTCTTTCACTCCACACTGCCCACATAACAGCAGCGGTGATGATACTCCATGCCACCTTGCCAGCCTTACTAAGACCTCCCAACCACCAAGCTTCTAAGTGTCCCTTTACATCTGCTGGAAACACATCTTAGCCTCAAATATCTCCACCTAGATGCCTCAAGGATGATAACAGGGTTTGGACATTTGGAATGGTCCTGTGCTGCCAAAGATAAAGCAGCCTTCTACGGGGAGGTCTATCATGATAAAATTAATACTTGTGAGCAATTACAGTGGAGAAGACCTTTTTGGTGTATCTCCTCTCATTGCTGCCCCTTATGTAAATCATACGGTGAAAACTGTTTCCACTTGCTAATCTCCTGTGTTAGTGTGTGTATGTATCTATGATTTGGATGTTTTGCTTTGATCTTTTTGGATGCAGGTGGGTCCCTCCCTCTGATCTAAGAAGCTTATTCTGCCAATCTTTTTTCTGCCCAAGAAAAAGAAGAGGCAAGATATTATGGTGATGCACTAGGATTGGCAATGTTATGGTGCATTTGGGAGGAGAGAAATGCATGGCTGTTCAAGGATAAAGAGAGAAGTGCAGGATAGGTCATTGAAAACATTTTAATCAAAGCGGCACACTGGGTCAAAACAAGTGAGCAATTCAGTTTGTATACAACTGATGATATACTAACAAACTGGAAGTCAATGGCTGAACCGTCATTCTCGAGAAGACTACCTCTAACAATCCACTGGGAGAAATCAGCAGTTGCTCTTATCAAAATGAACTTTGATGGTGCAGTTTGGGCAATTCAGGAAATTTGGTATTGGGGGTGTTTTTAGAAATGAGGAGGGGCATGTTATAGCACTTTTTTCTGGACCTGTAGGCTATAGAGGTTAAACTAGAGAATAACTTTGGGCAGCTCTAGAAGGACAAGAAGGGCTAAGTCCTTGAACCTAAGGCAAACATAGTTGAAGAAGATTAAAAAGTGGTGACAGGGTGGCTAAAGAGAAACCAAGAAGGGCCTTGGAAATATAGACACACAATAAGGGAAGCAAAAGAAATATCGAATATTCTCAGTGCCACAGTGGCCTGGTACCAAGATCTGCAAATGCCTTAGCAAATTCATTAGCCAAGCAAGGGGCAACAAGGAATCACTCCCCTTGGTGTCTGGTGCTCCAACACTCCCCCTAGAGTCTCTTTCTTTGTTTGGGAGACCTGCCTCCACAAAATCAACACTTGCGATTTGGTTTAGAAGAAGAATAAAGGAAAACTGTTTATTTCATGCCTGCCGTTTATGTTTGAAAAAAGGTGAATCCACTGATCACCTCTTTCTTCACTGCCCAGAAACTAGGAAACTTTGGTATTACTTCCTAAATCTTGTAGGGTACTGGGTTTTTCCTAGAAGCTTAATTGATTTCATTTGGTATGGAGGGGCAGTGGTCATGGAAGCAGGGGGGGAATTTATTGGTGCACTATCGCCTAAGAGTGTTATGGTGTGTTTGGGAAGAAAGAAGCAATTGCCTCTTTGAAAACAAAACCAGAACCATTGAAGATAACTCTCCCACATTACTTTCTTGGGTAATCTGTGGGTCTCTATTTCTGCAAAGTTCAAAGGCTTTTCTCTGAATGATCTTTAAAGAAACTTGGGGGAAATCCTGTTCTCCTCACTTGCACCTTCAAGCAGGTCAATTGCTATTCCTGCAAGGTTGATATCAGAGCTGACTCTAAATTTTGATGGCAGTGCTTTGGGAAATCCTGGAGTTGCTGGAATTGGTGGAGTTTTAGAGGGAGGGAGGAAAGCATCATGTGGGCATATAGTGGCCCAATTGGTGTAGCTGCAATATGTACAGTGAAAGAAATCTGCCTCTGTAATATCCTTTTGTTGGTTTAGCTGCAGTATGTACATCTCCTTGTGTACCCCTCTTCTTTTTAATATAATCAGTTAACTTTTCTCAAAAAAAAAAAAAAAGAGGAATCACTTAATATTGCAGACTAGTTCCCTGGGGGAGTTGTAATCTTTGTACTTGACTGTTTTTTGTGTTAACTGTGGTTAACCCCCATAGTGGGCACTGCTTTGAAATCCATGTAAAAATCTTCTATGATTTAAAGTAATCTTGTTATTTTGGAAAAGAAGGGAGTACCAAATAGGCTTAGAGAATGATTTGTAATTGTAATCTATCCAATTGTCATTTAGGTGTTAGCCTCAATGATTTTCGCCACAAAACTTATGGAGAATAGCAATCTAAGACTTTGGAGAAGGACGAGAAGCTCCACTCACTAAACTGCCATCATTTTCACCACTATACCCTGTGCTATCTCTGATGACTCCTATCTCAGAAGGCCTTTTTTTTATTTATTTTTAACATTGATATCTAAGGACTTGGGTTTCCCAAGAGCATTTGTCAGTGTTAAGAGGTGTACGATTCAACCAATATGCTTTCATCTCTATCAGCTAATTGATCACTGTGACCAATTATATTATGATTTAACTTCTTGTGGAAAACTCTTCTCCCTTTCTCCTTTTCTTTGTTTTTAATGAAATTTATTCATAATGGATCAGGAGAAACACCAAAAGTTAGCCTTGTTTCCTAAGGAGTGTGAATCTTCATTGCATTACCTGCAGGCTTATTAACCTTCCCCCAGTGGAGCTTAAGGACAATGATGTATGTGTCAGAATGCTTGCAGCTCCAATAAATCCTTCAGATATCAATCGGATAGAAGGTTGTCATCTTTTAGATTTTTAAATATTGATTGTTCTTTACACGTGTTCATTTCTCTATCTGCCTGGCTCTGTTTTATTCATGTAAAGAACACTGATGTGGACCCCACTGATGTGGTCCCCACAGTGTTCGTATGGCAGCAATATTTCTGTTAGATATGACAGTGTTATTTGGTAGTTATTTCAGCTTTATTATTAGTTATTTCTTATTCTATTTGCCATGTAAGCAATAAGGGCAATTCAGCCCTTTTACAGTTAGCCAATAGTTATATAAATACTAAGAGAGGGTCGGCAGAAATTATGACCTACTCTCTCTCTTTTCTGAAACTCTCTTCATGTACTTCTTTTCTTCCTCTCTTCTCTTCTTCTTCTCTTCAATTTTTCATCCTTTTTTCTTTTTAATTCAAGACTGATTGTAGTCTAGATCGACTACTATTCACTCAGTGGCACCCCTCCTCTAAAACACACAAACACATGCACATGCACACAATGACACATAGCATACACACTATCACGTGTCTCTCTTGATTCTGCTCCTTTTATTTTTTTTTTCTTTGTTTTGTAGGTTTATCATAATTTGTTATTTTAGTAATCTAACTACATTATTTCTTCAAAGAATTTTTATTGACTGTGGATTGTCGCCTCAGATTCTATTATGTAACTCCATTTTGTCAATGACATATAAATTAAAAATTCTTTTTCTTTTCATGTTGTTTCTTTGCTTTGTTTTCCTTACCTAGATCTACCTATTATTATTTATAATAAATGGGCTCTCTTTCAATAACTTTGCATCTCATCTGTTACTATAGGTGTTTACCCTGTGAGGCCTCCATTGCCTGCAATTGGAGGATATGAAGGAGTAGGGGAAGTACATTCTTTGGGATCTGCAGTAAGGGGTCTCTCCCCTGGTGACTGGGTCATCCCATCTCCTCCATCTTTTGGTATAGTCCTTATGCTCTATATTTCTTTTTATTGCTTTTATATTTATTCCTCGCCAGTCTCAAAAATAAGCGACCTCTATTGACCCCTCGCTTTGCCATTTAGCCAGCTCATTGACTGATCTATGGATCCAATTGACATTGATAGCTATATCTCTTTCCAACTCTTTTACCTCCCTCATAATCTTTCTATATTGCCATGTGAGTAAACTGTCATTTCTGAGCCAACTCACCACCATTTTTTAATCCCCTTTCACTAGAAAATTTCTATAATTAAAAGCTTTTGCCAGCAAAGATCAAAATTTTGCAACGTATCGGGCCATATCGGCCGATATGTATTGTATCAGTAGGTCACTGGTACATGAAATCCTTGGTGTTTTGGGGTAAACCCCTATTTCAGGGGCTAGACAGTCCTTATACCAAACCCCTTGAATAGGTTAAAAAAAAGAACTAAAAGAAATATATAGCATGCTGTTACAAAGTCTGATACGCCAGCGTATCAGACTGTATCGATTCTTTGAACCTTGTTCGCCAGTATCAGTTGTTGTAGCACTTCTGTTATCTTTGCTTTTATAAAATTTCCATGGCAAATGGGTCCAGAAAATAAGGCAGCGATGATCCCCTTACAATCTCTGTAAATCCCTCCTATGTCTGTGGAGCCTAGATTGCCTCTAGTGCAGACATCAGGATGCAATGTTTTTTTTTTTTTTTTNGGTCGGCAGAAATTATGACATACTCTCTCTCTTTTCTGAAACTCTCTTCGTGTACTTCTTTTCTTCCTCTCTTCTCTTCTTCTTCTCTTCAATTTTTCATCCTTTTTTCTTTTTAATTCAAGACTGATTGTAGTCTAGATCGACTACTTGGTATCAGAGCCGACCTAGGAGCTCTTATGCTAGTCTGATTAGGCCGACTGCATGAGAACCACTTAGGTTTGGAAGTTTTTCAACAAGGAAGGAGGATTGGCTGATTCTTGGAGGTTACTGGTAGTGTGCCGCTGCTACTAAAGAGATTGTAGAAGTTTGGGAGAGTTCCAGTAGTTAGGAAGAATCAGAAGAAGCTTCAGATCCTCAAGATTAGGGATTTGCATCAACCAGAAGGTGGCGGCCAGAGATTTTTTCATAAAGTAAGCTTTTTCTTGTGATTCTATTCAGAAAAGATAATCTTGGTTTAGTTTGAGAGGTGCGGCTTCAGAATTTTTATGTTTTCTTTAGGGTTTTGAGAGAAAACCCTAAAATTCAGAACTGTTATTTATTTCAGATCAGAATTTGAATTGGTTTCATTCGGAATTCTGTTTTCTGGAAGAACTAGGCTGGCTGTTATAAGTTGTTTGGGTGCTGTTTCTCTTATTACAGTAATTAAAAAAGGTTTTTTTTTTTAATTAATTCTTGATCAAGAATGGAGTCAAGGGTCAAGGGGAAGGTGTTTTTGGGACTAGTAATTTTGGTAACATGTCTGAGAATACCTTTCAGATTACAACAGTTAAGTTTGATGGATCAAACTACCTAGAATGGGCTCAATCGGCCATGATGGCCATTGGGGGTAGGGGAAAACTGAGCTACTTGTTGGGAGATGTGAAAGAACCAACTAAGGAGGACCAAACCTATACCAAATGGGTTCAAGGGAACTATTTGGTTATGACATGGCTGTGCAACTCTATGCAGCAACATATCAGCTGAAACTATTTGTGAGTGAAAACAACTAAGGAAATCTGGGATGTCATGAAAGAGACCTACTCCCAACCCCTTAATGTTGCTAGGGATTATGAACTGAAATGTGAGGTTAACAACCTTAAGCAAGGAGAGAAACCAGTCTCGGTTTACTTCTCTACACTGAAATCTTTGTGGCATGAAATTGATTACCTAGAAACACTTGAGTGGGAAAGCCAGAAGGATGCACAGACTCATAGAAAGCAGGTTGAAACTAATAGGGTTTTTGAGTTCCTAGCTGGTCTGAATCCTGAGTATGATATTGTGAGACAACAACTACTGACAAGAGACAATGCGACCCTATCACAAGCCTACTTAGTGCATAGTGAAGAGACTAGGAGAAAGGTTATGATGCAGCATCAGCCCTTCCCACAGCCTTGGCAGCAGTCAAACCTAAGTCCGAGGGTGATACAGAGAGGGATATAAAGAAGGAAGATAAGCGGGATCTAGTATGTGAACATTGCAAGAAACTCAAGCATACTAAAGACACCTGTTTACAAAACTCAGGAACAAAAGGGGTAATGCTAATATGACTGTTAATACTGATTGTGCTTCCTTATCAGGCACAAAAGGCACACCCCTAGACACCCTAGCTGCTGTCCATGCTGCCTTGACTCAGTTGGAAAAGGAAGTTGGCAGTTCAACTCAATCATCTTAATCACCATCAGCTCCCACATCAGCTTTTGCTCATCTAGGTAACACTGAACATTGTTGGGTAATAGACTCAGGTGCATCTAACCATATGACTGGCTTGCCATCACTGTTCACTACCTATCACTTATCTTCTAGCAGAGATAAGGTGTCCATTGCTGATGGTTCCCTTGTTCCCATTTCTGGCAAGGGAGATATCAAGTTGTCTAATGCCATATCCTTATCTTCAGTTCTGCATGTTCCTAAGTTTAATACTAATTTTCTTTCAGCCAGTAGCATTACAAAACATAAGAATTGTTCAATAACCTTTTTCCCTGACCGATGTGTTTTTCAGGACTTGGAGACAAGGAAGGTGATTGGGACTGGCCGTGAGACGAATGTGATCTATCTGCTTGGAGAAAGTTCACATTGGGAAGATAGTGAAAATATGAAGTCTTTTGTTTCTCAGTCTGTTAGTTAGGTTATGCTTTGGCATAATCGGTTGGGTCATTTATCTTTTCGGTCTTTGAAGAGTTTGTTTCCTGATTTATTTGAGTCTATTCAGATGTCCAATTTGAGATGTGAGAGTTGTGAGCTTGCAAAGCATTGTAGAACATCTTATTCATTGAGTAATAATCCTTTTGATATTGTGTATACTGATGTTTGGGGTCCTTATCACATCACTGCTATGGGGGGGGGTACAAATATTTCTTGTTGTTTGTTGATGACTATACCCGGTTTTCTTGGGTTTACCTTATGCGTTCTCGAGATGAGGTTTCTACTTTGACCCAGATCATTCATCAAATGATTTTAACCCAATTTGGGGTCAAAATCAAAATCCTCAGATCCGATAATGCGAAAGAATACTTTGCCAACCAATTAGCCTCCTATTTGCTTGACCATGGAATTATCCACCAAAGTACTTGTCCTCATACACCATAGTAGAATGGGGTTGCTGAGAGGAAGAATAGGCACATATTGGAGGTGGCCAGAAGCATCATGTTTAACTCCAATGTGCYTATTCGTTTCTGGGGAGATGCTATTCTTACAACAGTGTATCTCATTAACCGAGTTCCTTCACGGGTTCTTGACATGAAGCCACCATTTACCCTCCTATACCCTGATAAAGACTTGTTTACTATTCCCCTTAAAACCTTTGGTTGTACTTGCTTTGTTCAGATTCTTGGACCTCATCGTTCCAAATTTGATCATAAGGCCTCCAAATGTATTTTTCTCGGTTATGCACAAAATCAAAAGAGATATTGCTGTTATGAACCCACTTATGGGAAAAGATTTGTCTCTATGGATGTTACTTTCTTCGAGGATGTACCCTATTTCCCTAAGGTTTCTCCTCAGGGGGAGAGTAGTGAGTGTGGGGTTAATTCATCAGAAGTTCCTTTACCTGTTCCATTGAGTGATGAGGGATGTAATGGGGAGGGGTGTCAGAGGTTCCGGGATTTGAGAGTTTATCACAGGCGGTGGAGGCAGGTTGATTTCGGTCATCAGCAGTCCAGGCCAGCCCTAGTTTCTTCTGCGGATCCAGATCCAAGTACTACAGTTCCGTTATCGGATCTGAGTTCCACTGAGATACCTTCCACTGTTGAGCCCTTACCTCCTTTGGATGACCTTGACCTCCCCATTGCAGTCCGTAAAGGCAAACGGCATTGCACCACATCCATAGCCCACTGCATTTCCCAATTCTTGACCTATGATCACTTGCCCCCCTCTTACAGGTCCTTCCTCACATCTATTACTGATATTCCTATCCCCAGAACAGTGCAGGAGGCCTTGTCAGTTCCTGAGTGGAAAGATGCAATGAAGGTTGAAATGGATGCAATTTTAAGGAATAATACTTGGGAGCTAGTTGACCAGCCTAAAGGGAAGAAACCGGTTGGATGTAGATGGGTATTTACTGTCAAACATAATGCTGATGGTTCCATTGAAAGGTATACGGCTCGGTTAGTTGCAAAGGGATTTACTCAGACTTATGGTATAGACTACTTGGAGACTTTTGCTCCAGTAGCAAAGATGACCACTATTAGAGTTTTATTGTCCCTTGCAGCCAGTTACTCTTGGTCCTTGTTCCAGATGGATGTCAAAAATGCCTTCCTCAATGGAGACTTGCAGGAAGAAGTCTACATGCAATTGCCTCTTGGATTTTATGATGCAGACACAAGAAAGAAGGTTTTCCGGTTGAATAAAGCTTTGTATGGACTAAAACAGTCCCCCAGAGATTGGTTTGATAGATTCAGACAAGCCCTTGAAAGGTTCGGCTATGTACAAGCCCAGTCAGACCATACATAGTTCATTAAGAGAGTGGACTCTTCCTTGACCTTGCTTGCTGTATACGTGGATGATATTGTAGTGATAGGGAATGATAATGGTGAGATTAAGTCTCTCAAACAACTCTTCACCAATAATTTGAGGTGAAAGATCTGGGAGAGCTACGATACTTCTTGGGTATTGAGGTAGTTAGATCTAAACATGGGATTTTTGTTTCCCAAAGAAAGTATGTTCTAGATTTGTTGGAAGAAACTGGAAAGTTAGGTGTTAAGCCTGCAGATACACCTATTGAACAGAATCACAAGATCAGTGTAGGGGGTGGAGAGCCACTTGAAGATAAAGCTATGTTCCAGCGGTTAGTTGGAAAACTCCTCTATCTTTGTCTCACACGACCGGACATCAGTTATGCGGTCAGCGTTGTCAGTYAGTATATGCACTCTCCTAGGACTACTCACTTACTTGCAGTTGAGAGGATATTAGCATATTTGAAGAGGTGCCCAGGTAGAGTTATACTATTCAAGAATAATAATCACATGGAGATAGAGGTTTATATAGATGCTGATTGGGTTGGGAGTATTGATGATAGAAGGTCTACCTTTGGATATTGTGCTTTTGTAGGAGGTAACCTGGTCTCCTGGAGGAGTAAGAAGCAAAGTGTTGTTTCTCGTTCTAGTGCAGAAGCTGAATACAGGTCCATGGCTAATGGTGTGGTTGAAATCCTATGGTTGAAATCACTATTTGAGGAGTTGGGCATTGCTTATGAGAAGCCCTTAATGCTGTATTGTGATAATCAGGCTGCTATTAATATAGCTCATAATCCAGTACAACATGACAGAACTAGGCATATTGAAGTAGACCGACATTTTGTTAGAGAAAGGGTTTCATCTCAAGAAGTGTGTCTTCCGTATATCACCTCCAGCATGTAGCTTGCAGATCTTCTCACCAAGGCTGTTCCAAGGAAGAAGTTAGAGGCAGCTCTATGCAAGTTGGGAATGACAAATATCTATTCCCAACTTGAGGGGGAGTGTAAAGAACACTGATGTGGTCCCCACAATGTTCGTATGGCAGCAATATTTCTGTTAGATATGACGTTAGTTGGTAGTTATTTCAGCTTTATTAGTAGTTATTTCTTATTCTATTTGCCATGTAAGCAATAAGGGCAATTCAGCCCTTTTACAGTTAGCCAATAGTTATATAAATACTAAGAGAGGGTCGGCAGAAATTATGACCTACTCTCTCTCTTTTCTGAAACTCTCTTCATGTACTTCTTTTCTTCCTCTCTTCTCTTCTTCTTCTCTTCAATTTTTCATCCTTTTTTATTTTTAATTCAAGACTGATTGTAGTCTAGATCGACTACTATTCACTCAGTGGCACCCCTCCTCTAAAACACACAAACACATGCACATGCACACAATGACACATAGCATACACACTATCACGTGTCTCTCTTGATTCTGCTCCTTTTATTTTTTTTTTCTTTGTTTTGTAGGTTTATCATAATTTGTTATTTTAGTAATCTAACTACATTATTTCTTCAAAGAATTTTTATTGACTGTGGATTGTCGCCTCAGATTCTATTATGTAACTCCATTTTGTCAATGACATATAAATTAAAAATTCTTTTTCTTTTCATGTTGTTTCTTTGCTTTGTTTTCCTTACCTAGATCTACCTATTATTATTTATAATAAATGGGCTCTCTTTCAATAACTTTGCATCTCATCTGTTACTATAGGTGTTTACCCTGTGAGGCCTCCATTGCCTGCAATTGGAGGATATGAAGGAGTAGGGGAAGTACATTCTTTGGGATCTGCAGTAAGGGGTCTCTCCCCTGGTGACTGGGTCATCCCATCTCCTCCATCTTTTGGTATAGTCCTTATGCTCTATATTTCTTTTTATTGCTTTTATATTTATTCCTCGCCAGTCTCAAAAATAAGCGACCTCTATTGACCCCTCGCTTTGCCATTTAGCCAGCTCATTGACTGATCTATGGATCCAATTGACATTGATAGCTATATCTCTTTCCAACTCTTTTACCTCCCTCATAATCTTTCTATATTGCCATGTGAGTAAACTGTCATTTCTGAGCCAACTCACCACCATTTTTTAATCCCCTTTCACTAGAAAATTTCTATAATTAAAAGCTTTTGCCAGCAAAGATCAAAATTTTGCAACGTATCGGGCCATATCGGCCGATATGTATTGTATCAGTAGGTCACTGGTACATGAAATCCTTGGTGTTTTGGGGTAAACCCCTATTTCAGGGGCTAGACAGTCCTTATACCAAACCCCTTGAATAGGTTAAAAAAAAGAACTAAAAGAAATATATAGCATGCTGTTACAAAGTCTGATACGCCAGCGTATCAGACTGTATCGATTCTTTGAACCTTGTTCGCCAGTATCAGTTGTTGTAGCACTTCTGTTATCTTTGCTTTTATAAAATTTCCATGGCAAATGGGTCCAGAAAATAAGGCAGCGATGATCCCCTTACAATCTCTGTAAATCCCTCCTATGTCTGTGGAGCCTAGATTGCCTCTAGTGCAGACATCAGGATGCAATGTTTTTTTTTTTTTTTTTAATTTCTTTTGAAGGGTTACACAATGGGGGATAGCTCATCCCCTGAACCCTCTCAACCCAGGTGCAGGTGGTATTTGGTCCAAAGTCTCCGCTACGACCAGCAGGAGACCTTACTAACCAGCTAGTTGGCACCTTGCGCCATCAGAATGCAATGTTATCATATTCATATCAGGTGGCCTCCATTGTGAAAGGACCCGAGTTGTCCTTGTATTCAACATTGTGAGAATATTTAAAAATCAATAACCCACTTTCCCTTTTTCTTAATGAAGCTGTTCTAGTCTTTTCGATTATTTTCCAGCTATTGCATAAGATTTCTGCTGTTCCAAACTCACCTATTTGTATTTGGGTGTTTGGAAGACAATCCTGGCTGCTGTAATAAATACTATTTGGGAGGAAAGAAATAAAAGAATTTTTCAAAACCGTTCCAGCGAAGTCAACAGTTTGATTTCCATTTCCTATGGGAAGCTGATCTCCTGGACAGCAGCTGCAAAAGGTCTCCATAGGGTGCTTGGGTCTCAGCTGGGGTCTTGTAGTTTGTTTGAGTTGTAAGCCGGTTCTTAGGTCCTTGGACCTGGTCTATTGCTCTTAAAGAGGACTCCTTGTAATCTTTGTTTCCATTTAATAAATTTGCCTTACCTTCTCACCTATTTGTACTTGATCTTCTTTGAAAATGACAAGTATATGCTTCTTAGGGACATGGCAGACTTACATAGTGAAAGAGGAAAATGCATGGCACAAAATTAGTAAAGACATACCTATGGAGTATGCTGCTACAGTAACTGTAAATCCTTTGACGGCTTTACGCATGCTTGAAGACTTTACTGAGCTGAAGCCAGGTACTTTCTGGTTATCATGTTTATCATGTCCCAATGTTTCTAACTCAGTTCTGTACATTTCCTTTTACTTTTTTTTCTCTGATCAGTCTGACGTGACTAGGAGATTGTATTGTGCAAAATGGTGCTACAAGTATGGTGGGGCAGTGCATTATTCAGCTCGCACGAATCCGAGGCACCCATAGCATTAATGTCATCAGAGACAGGTGCAACTTGGAAATTTTAATTCAATTCCTTTATGAACAATTTCATCTAACTCTGTTAAACTCCAGTTTCAACAAGGTCTAATAAACATATAGGATATAGCATTTGGGGGTTCAAACTAAACTTGTCTTTGTCAAGGTTAACCTTAAATGGAGTTAATCCATTGTAACAAGGATGTACCCTAGTACCTTAGCCTTACTGCAACAATTTGGGTTGGCTCCACAAATCTTGCTCAGCCATTAACTCTTTTTGGGAATTGGGATAAAATCTTCTGTTAAATGATATACCTAATAATCTCATAAAGTGGAGGTCAATGCACCAGAGTATCTGATTTTTTTTGGTAGGATGAAAAAATGCTACACCAAACAGAGGGTAACCTTGTTCCAACAATCCAGAAATAGAATGTAAAACAAATCCCACAAAAACTGGATGTCTTGTAGCCTGACTTAGGAGAAGTCAGTGGTTGTGCTCAAACAGTAAGGCCTAATGATCATCATCCTTCAATTTTTATTCAGTGTTTTCTTATTAGTTTCTATTTTGGATTCAAACTGAATGCCAAGAAGGCCCTCTTTTTGAACAGTTTGGCTGACAAGGTAAATATTGAGAATCAGTTCAATGTCTTTAGATACAGTGAAAAGCCCAAATTGGAGACACATCACTATCAATGTGTTTAGAATACTCTCAACTCAACCAAACCTTGTCTCAACTATATGAGGAATGTATTTAAAATTCTGCATGAAAAAATATACTGTATATTGAATAGAAGCACAAGATATGAATATATACTATATGCCAAATAAAGAAAATGAGTATTCATAAAGGATGGATGTTTGACATGTAAGTTTGATGCAACAAATCTTCTTACAAATTGTGAACATATCCTTTTTCAAGGATTGTACCTATAGCTTCTATCTCCTGATCTATGGCAGGGCTGGTTCAGAAGAAGTTAAAGACAGACTCAAGGAACTTGGGGCAGATGAAGTATATACCGAGAGTCAGTTAGAAATGAAGAATGTCAAGAGTCTCCTGGTATTGTTGATTGCTTGACTTGGTATTGCTGACAATATTATATTTGGAAGGGGTTTGTCTGATGCATTTTAGCTTCAGTAATGGTTTTGCCTCAGATTATGTTTTATTGAGATTGATGTTCTGTTTATATTTTTATTAGATTTTACATAAGTTTCTTTCATTCCTTTTCTTTTTACTCATGTTTAAATTTACTTTCATAGGGTAATCTACCTGAACCTGCCTTGGGATTCAACTGTGTTGGTGGAAATTCTGCTTCTTTAGTCCTCAAATTCTTAAGGTAAATCTTGCTTTTAATTCCTAAATAAAATTAAGTATTTTTCCCATATCAATTTGTTCCTTCTCTGATGAAATTATATTTATGCAGGCAAGGAGGAACCATGGTAACATATGGTGGAATGTCTAAGAAACCTGTCACAGTATCAACTTCCTCTTTCATTTTCAAGGTAATGCCTTAGAATAAATTTTGTGAGCATTACCTTGTCATTCTTAACAATAGCATAAAGCATGATGTCAGACATTCTACCATTTGGGAATCAATCAAAGTCTTGTTACAGATATAATGGACCATGGGGTGTATGTGCTCAAGAATTAGAATTCCATGTGCACGCATCTTAAAAATTGATGGATTTTATCACAATGACGTTATTAGCAAAGAGGTGTTTAGAGACTTCTCCACTGATGATGTAGTGGTTGATAAACATATTGATGCTTACCATGTTAAAACCCCCAAAACAACTGCATACAATCTTTTTCATCTTGAGTGATTAGATGGTGACCAATCCCTATCATGGGATTGGACCAAAAGTCTCCCTTGGAATCCAGAAATAAAGGAAAAAAAAGGTCATGGTTGTTAGATAATTATGATGCTTTCCCTTATAGGGTCCTACATAAATATTTAATATGGACAAACCTAATTGTCTCTCAAACTCAAGTTAAAGTTCTTTTTTAGTTCTTAATCACTCCTACCTAAGTACACCAAATGGCCAATCCTTGGTGTATTAAAATTGTTTCTTAGTTCTTTATCTCTCAGGCAGGTCACAATCTAGTTGTTTAGTTTATTGTGTTTTATTATGTTATAATTAACTTTGCTTAGAAGGCTTTTGATTTAAATGATTTTTTTGATAAATAGATTTAAATGTTTAAATGTATGTCCAGTAGGATTTGAGTAAATCCGTTGTAGTCTACTTGGTGTTTTTTCTGATCCCTCAGGGAGTTCAGATATTTTATCTCCCCTTCTTTGTATTTTAACCTCTTATATTAATGAAATGCTTCCTGTTGTTGATAAAAAAATGTCCAGTAGGATTTGACTTTAATTACAGAGACATATATTGAGGTCAAAGATGAACCATAACTATTTCATGGATTAATTCTAACATTCTCCCTCAGCTGGTCTGTTTTGGTGGTAGAAGGTGATTGCTGTGTACTACCTATATGGCCATTCTTTGATGGTTAACAGACCATGATTCCTAGGTGCCTGATAAGACAGGCAAAGGTTTTGGTATTAACATGGACTGCTTGTTAACATCAATCGTTTGATCTATTAATAGCCTAGCTGATCCCTTAGCTAGGGAGGAAACGATCTGATTTAAGAGCGGGAGGTCTGGGGTTGAATTTGTAATCTTGCTTCTTGTTTTAATGAGGTTTCATCTATAGTTTAGCTTCAGCTATTATTTTCTAGTTGTTCCTTTCACTCCAAATCTATTTGGTATGATAGGCTTTTTTCACACTTCATTAATAAATTCTGATCGGTGTTGCTAATAAATGGCCCTACTTTGTCAATACTGAAACGAGATTCATTTAAAATTTAATACAAAGTGTAATTTAAATCTTCACTAGGATACATATTACATAACCTTTTTGCCCTCTTTTCTATTTTTTTTTTGTGGAAATTATTGGTTTGGTTTTCATAGTGCACTTGTCTATTGTTTATTTAATGCTATTTTGATTATATACTTGATTTAAATATGAACCGATGGTTGTCCATGAATGGATTGATCCCTTCCTGATCTAATTTATTGTGTCCTATTTTCTGTCCATTTTAAGACTAATTTCTTGTCAAAAATGGATCAGCAAATGGTTTTCAAACAAGTTTTGAGAGAAATTAGACAGTTAGCAAGAGATGTTGAGGCATCATTCAGATGGGTTATATAGATCAGCAAATGGTTTGGCAAATGCTCTCACCAAACAAGGGGTATCTAGGGAACAGTTTTTTTGGGCTTCTCTGCTTGATGACATTAAGGGGCTGGCTCAATGGAGCTGTAATTTTGTATAAGATGGCGCAACGGTTGGGTTGGTCCATTGTGACCTGGGTGACTAGGGTTCAATTCTTGGAAACAGCCTCTCTGTATGTGCAGGGGTAAGGCTGCATACATCTGTCCCTCCCCAGACCCCGCATTGGTGGGAGCCTTGCGCACTGGGATGCCCTTATTCTCTACAGCAGAAACTCTATTTTTAGCCTTGTTTTTCTTAGGGCGAGTTTGGGAGGGCTGAAGCTTTGATTGAGCTACTTTTTTTTTTTTGATTAAATCATCAATAGAAGATTTACAAGAGGAAGACAAACACACTTATCTTCCAAGAGAAACTTTGATTGAGCTACTTTCACTGAGCGGCTTTGAATAAGCTACTGAAACAAGCTTCACCAGCAATCCAATTTTTTTGGGGCTGAAGGACAGAGTATTTGGGTTTTTCAGGTTTTTCACCAAACATAGCTTATTAGGCTGTCTGTATGGGCCCACCTCATGAAGCCATAAGCCACTGGAAGCCCTCCCAAACAGGCACTTAATCTTGAAAAACATTAACCCTTGGTTGATGCTATCCTGATTTCTTCATGCTATTTTATTTCAAACCTACCTTCTCTTGACCCTAATAACCTCTTTAAAATTTTTATTCAAATCTTCACTCAAAGCATTATTTCTATACACCTTGTTAGTATGATTTGTATTATCATCCTTATCTTGTACTACACATTTCTTTCAATTCTTTCAATGTTAAGTAGGTTTTCACTTCTTGGGTAACTTTGTATCATTGACCTGGTATTTGAGACAAACAAGTATCATTCTGATAAAATTCTTATGTGTCACTGAAATCAATAAAAGTATGTTGTTATTTGCTCATAGGCTTCATTTTAATCTATGTGCAGGATCTTTCCTTGCGTGGGTTTTGGTTGCAGAAATGGATGGGTTCTGAAAGAGCAAAAGATTGCAGAGTTATGATAGATTATCTTTTGGACCTAGTGCACAAGGGAAAATTCAAATACGAGTATGTTTTCTTCAAAGAACAAGAACCATATTTCTAGTGCTAGCAGTAGAGGTTGCTAATACCAGACACAACTAACTGTACTTGCATCCACCAACTCATTGATTCTGCTGCCTGTTTAATGAGCCACTTACTAGATATGCAATGCCCCCAAAATCATGTTCATCTGGTAAACCCAGATTGCTGGTCCAATGATCACATTTTTTATTATCCATCCAAATATGCTTTCTAATGGCATCTCTTAGAGGTGTATGCAGAAAGAACATGGTGGCATTAATGAATTGGCTAACCTGCATGTGCCACCAAGAACTTAGTCTTGGCCATGGTGTGACCTAGAGGTGTGGATTCAAAAGGAACACTGATGTTTAATCAGTTGGTTTACATGTATATGCCAACACCATGAAGTTAGGCCGGCCTCATTATGGCATCTCCAGAGGCGTATTTTATTTGTAAAAGGATCACAGTGGCATCAACGAGTTGGTTAAATTCTATGTGCTGGCAACCTGGCACCTAGTGTTTAGGCTCTGGGAGCTCGTAATTGGACATGTGTCCTTCAGACCATTGAATGGACCCCAAAATAGGTACTTACTGGGTGGGGAAGCTGTGGATCAAGAGGATGATAGTGAAGTTTCTAGCCTAGATAAAAAAAAGTAGGTGTTGAGGTGGTGGGGGAACGAGAAGTTCAAATTGTTAATTTGGGTTTGTTCTTTTTAGGTGGGGAAGAATCTGCTAGAAAGGATTTTTTAAAGAAGAAGCAGAAAGAACTAAAGATGCCGAAGCCACATAAGTTGATTCAAATGGACAGTGTGTGGAGAGAGAGAGATGGATATTTAATATTTGAAAGTTGGTACTTTTGGATTTTAAGTGATTCATTCACTCGTATGAAAGTTCTGGTTAATTTGTTAAGCCAAAGTTGGTGAATGTTTTGGAGTGTGGATTCAAGTGTCAATCATGTTTTAGGTCTATTTGGTTTGGTTTACAGGCTTCCAGTTTGGCATATGTCTTGTATTAGTTATTTTTGCTTTCTTTTAAGGGTTGGTGAATGCTTCAGTTCAATCCATTTATGTTTTTTTTTTCTTTTTTCTTTAGGGCGGTCAAGGTTTTTAATGTTTTGAATTTTGTTGATATGATGGTAGGGGTTGGTTTGAAGGGAGTTAAAGCAGTGATTTTTTTTTGGTGCTGCGTGCTTTCATCTTTGATGATTGCAACTAGGGCTGTGTTTGGTTGCAATGCAAATAAATTTGCACTTATGCAAAACCATGGCAGTGCAAATGATTTGAGTGTAAATTCTGACCTATTTTTGTTTCAAATTTTAGCTTATTTTGTTTGATTGCATTACAAATGAAGTAAATTAAGACATGAAGCAGAATAAAGTAAAATCCAAAACAAAATTAAACAAGAATTTGCATCTTTTACATTTGCATTTTCAGGCATTTGCACTGGTGCAAATAAATATGCACTGCAACCAAACACAGCCTATTGTAATTTTGTTGCATTTATTTGGTTGATAAATAAAGGAAATTTTATTTAAATAAAGAGCTGTAGAGATAAAAACATCAAGCTGAATTTTGGCTTAGGAAGGTGGGAACTGGGAACCATATGGGGCAGGCCTTCATCCTTATTTTGCCTATGTGATGATACTTAGTGAGGTACAGATGCATGGACGGGATCTTGGACCCTGCGGTGTCAGACCCAAAATTTTCTATCCATGTAATGGTCTTAGAAAGTATCTAAGATGACTAGCTTTCTATATTCTTATCCAACAATATGTAAGGTATATTCTGGTTTGTTGATTTTCGTTCGTTTTGGTGTCACATAGAGTCGATTGATATGTTGGAACACTCTTTTTGCAGGATGGAGCTAGTACCATTTGATGATTTCCATGTGGCACTGGATAAGGCACTTGGAAAACTAGGAAGCCACTCTAAACAAGTTCTTAGATTCTAAATGGGGAGGCAGGCAGAGAACTTCATGTTTCTTGTTTTCTGTAGATATTTGGAGAAACAAAGTTGATGCAGATATAAAATGCTAAATGCTTTCTTATTTCTTTTTTTCTTTTCCTTTTTTCCTGAGATTTGCTCTTTGAGAAACAAAGTGTTCATTATGTTCCAGATTTCTACATACATCAATTGGCAGGCGTCAGACTGCAGAACGCTAAGCGTGCAAGTGCATGCCAAACTATCATACTGATAACGTATCTAGTGTAAAGTAGGGAGAGTTATTCTCGTAAACCTCACAGAGGGTTGAGCCCGTTTTTTTTCCTAGGCAAAAAGTATATTAATTATTTAACATTAATATAACATCAGATCGTTCATGTGAGCTTTGCATATTATATTTACAGGCATTAAAAGCGAAGGTGTGAGCTAACACCCCTACTTATGAACTGAAACTTTACAAGGTCAAAACGTCTTAGCAGTGTAGGGAAAATGTTCGCATAAATTTGATTTATCCACGAGTAATCCTTGTTGGAGTCATTTAGTTTATCTATAAGTTCTTTGGCATCAGAAAAAACTGAGATTTGCTTCTGTTGATTGCTTTAATTCGATAGCCTCCTGAAGCAATATAAACATTTGTTGAAGCATGCTGGAGAACATACCCAATTCCGGCTGTACCTGTGTTAGGGTCGTATGATCCATCTGTAAATAAATAAAAGTAAGCATTTTCGCTTTTACAAGGAAGATTAGATGTTGTTGATGGACCACTGAGATGCAAAGTGTTCTCCTCATGAGTTCCCATAAACCTCTTGATTTGATTTAAGATGTCGTGGGGTTGAAGGTGGATATTATTATGCAGCTTGTCATTACGAGCCCTCCAAACATGGTATAGTGCTAATTGTAAAAAAAGAAGTACCTGTTCACTTGTTATTTGTTCAGCATGAGAGAGGGGTTAGATAGCCATTTGGTGAAAATTCTGTGTAATGGCCAAATTTGAATCCCTTTGGGTTAATACCAATTTGTAAAGCACACCATAAAGCCCTAGCGAAAGGGCATTTGAAGAATAGGTGATGAAATGATTCTTCTGAATTTTCACATAGAATACAGGTGGTTTGTCCATTGGGTATCCACTTGGCCTGCTTATCCTTGGTTAATATTCCATCCTATAGTGCCTTCCAAAGAAAAACTTGATAATGATATGGAATTTTAGTTTTCCAAATGTGACCATTTGAAACTGGTTGCTGATGCGGATGAATGGATGTTCTGAAAAGTTTGATATGCTGATTTAACAGTGAAAGCACTTGAATTGTTCTTTTTCCATAACAAGGTATCAGATGATAGGGAGGGGTCAGGTTGTGTTTGTAGAATATTTCAACAGACTCCCTGTCATAGAACTGAAGGAGAAAGCTTAGGTTCCAGGTGCCATCAAGTTGAAGCAATTCTGCCACCATAATTTGTTAACATTTAAAACTTCATTATGATTGTTTCTTATTGGAATTCCTCCTTGGATAGTGGGCACCCGGGGACCATTTAGAGCATCAATCTTTGACCCATCTTTGACTAGCCATATCAACTCACTCTAAAGTACTAACAATCTCAACTGCATGATTGCGCCAAAGTGAGTGGTGAGCTTTTGGTTTTGCAAGAAAACTACTATTATGAGGAAAGTATTTGGCCTTGATACGCCAAGACCATAGATAATTGGGATGCTTCATCAATCTCTATATGTGTTTGAGTGGTTCCCAAACATTGCCTTGTTCATACTGGAGTTTTTGAAACCAAGACCTCCCTTAGCTTTTGGAATGCAAAGTTTGTCCCATGAAATGGTGTGCTTGTTATCTTGGCTGCTCGAGCCATTCCACCAAAAATCTCTTTGTATTTTGCTCAACTCTTTGTGAACTCTAACCGGGAATATGGTAGTAGACACAGAGTATAGAGGTATAGATTGGGCCACTGACTTGATTAGAGTGGCTCTCCCAGCTTGAGAAAGCAATTTAGCTTTCCATGAATCAATTCTGCTCTTTACTCTCTTTAAAGTTTCAAGATGAGAGGAATAGAGGTTACCTCCTAACCATAATTTAGCTCCAAGATATTTTACCTTGTCATTAGACTTGGGATTAGAGAGAACATGAGATATGAATTTCTGATGTTGTCTATGAATATTCTTTCTGAACATGACCGATGACTTTGAGTAATTTAGCTTTTGACCCGAGATTGCTTCAAAGCGTTCAAGAATGTGCTTGAGAGTTTTGATTTGATCAAGGTGTGCCCTGCATAATATAAAACAGTCATCGGCACAAAGCAAATGAACAATGGGTGGAGCCAACTTACTAATCTTGATGCCTTCAATGTTGTTCAACACAGCTTCTGAATTAAAGAGGTGGGATAAAGCCTCTATGCCAATGATGAAAAGGTAAGGAGATCCTCTATCTCCTTGCCTGAGACCTCTACTAAGTTTGAAATGACCTTGTGCTTTGATTTTTATAGAGATAGTGGGAGATTTAATACATTACTCATTTAACTTTCTCCATTGTGCTGGAAAAGTCATTTTTTTTTCTGAAATGACCAAGAGAAAATTTCAGCCCATTTTCCAGTTGATGAGGTTTGGTGCAGAGCAATACCTCTTAGGGTTGGTAGTTTTTGTTGGGAAGCTTATTTGGAAAGAATCAATATTGTTGATCTACTCCAAAAGAAGAGACCCAATACTTGTTTGTCACCTCAGTGGTGTGTTTTTTGTAAAGCGGATGGGGAGACTGGTTTTCACCTACTGGTGTCTTGCCATTTTGCGAGGTCAATTTGGGAATGGGTTTTGTCCCTATTTGGATGTAGCTGGAATCCTCCATCAGACTTGCAAGGCCTTTTTTCCCCTTCTTTTTTCAGGTGGCRRATAAAAWGGGGAAGGACAATGTGGAGAGGACTAAGGGCTGCAGTATGTTGGACACTTTGGGAAGAAAGAAACTCCAAGATATTCTCAGAAGCTCAAAGAAGAGCAACAGATTTGAGGGCTGTCATTCATATTAGGGCGGTACAGTGGCTGAAATCTTTGGAGCTTTTCAAAGATTACACTGTGGATGGAATGCTGAGGAAGTGGGGTGAAATTGCAAATTGCACACAGACCAAGTCAGTAATGAGTGTGACTTGGACCCCTCCACCTGGTGGATTCGTGAAACTAAACTTTGATGGGTGTAGCAGGGGAAATCCAGGACAATCGGGGACTGGGGGTGTTTTTAGGGATGAAAATGGGGTCATTTCTGCCATGTTCTCAGGCCCAATTGGAGTGGGTGACTCCCTTAGAGCTGAGATCTTTGCAGTTATGGAAGGAGTCCARAAARCTAAGGAGTYGRAYATCAGGAAACTCTTAATTGAAGGGGATTCAGAGGTGGTGATAGGGTGGGTGGTTAAAGATCATAGTGGCTTATGGAGGTACAATAATGAGAGGAGGAAATTCAAGTGGCTGGTGCGGGAGATGGAAGTTAAGATACGTTGGGTTAAAAGATCGGCTAATTCCCTAATTGACGGTTTAGCTAAACAAAGGGTAGAAAGGGATTCGCTGTTTTGGGCTAAACTGTAACTATAGTGTGTTTTTTTTCTTTTTTTTTTCCTTTTCTTGAGGTTCTTTGTTGCTCTTGGAAGATAAGCGTGTTTGTCTTCCTATTGTAAATCTTCTATTGATGAGTTAATGAAAGTGTTGTTGATAAAAAAAATTCCAGCCCATTTTGTCGAAAGCCTTCGACATGTCCAACTTGATTGCTATCCAACCTTTGCCTTTTCTTTGTTTTCTTAGAAAGTGAATAATTTCTCTAGCAAGTGTGACATTGTCTGAAATTTGTCTGCCTTTGAAGAAGCCTGATTCATTTTGAGAAATAAGATCTTGTAGTAAAGGTTGCATTCTACCCACCATCCATTTTGAAATGATCTTATTGAGCACATTGTATAAACTTAGTGGCCTATAGTGGGCTGGAGTCTTTGGTGCTCTTCTTTTGGGAATAAAGGTGAAATTTGTATTATTCATTTCTTAGGGAAAAATTCTTGTGTGAAAAAAATGAAAGAACCATTTCATAGACATCTAGGCCTATTACTTGCCAATATTTTTTATAAAATAAAGTTGTAAAGCCATTAGAACCTGGAGCTTTATGAGGGTGAGTTTTTTTTCACTACCTCAGTTATCTTCAAAACTAAGAGGTAGCATGAGTGATTGGCTTTGAGCCTCTCAAAGTTGAGTAAAATGTAAATCTAAAATGAAGCTAGGATCAAAGTTCTCCTCTTGTTGCCTATATTCCTCAATAAAATTTTGAAATTCCTTATTTTTTTCTTTATCTGATATCCATTCCCTCTTTTCTATTTTCAGCCAGTTAATTCCTTGTGTTCTTCTCTTGGCCTTTACTATTTGTTGAAAATAGCGTGTATTTCTATCTCCTTCATGTAGCCAAAGTTCTCTTGATTTTAATTTCCATAGCTGCTCTTCAACTAGCAACCACTTGTCATATTGATTTTGAAGTGAGCTCAAGGTGGATAATTCTTACTCTGACAGGCCAGACTCCTTTTGCTTCATTTGTTGAATTTGTAATTGGAGCTTTAAGAGTTGATCTTCAATCCACCCAAACTTGGTTTTTTTTTTCCATTCCTTTAATTTACTTTGGAAAGTTTTAAGTTTTTGCAAAATTTAGGATGCTGGATCTCCACTAACTTGCTCTTTCCAAGTATCATCAATGATTTTTGAACATTCTTGATGTTCAGTCCAAAATGGCTGAAAGTGGAATTAGGCTCTCCTTTTCTTCTTCATAGGGTGTGTACTTAATAATATAGGCGAGTGATCAGAGTGAATTGGAAGAAGGTGGTATAATTCCGCATCACTAAATATTTCCAACCAGTGGCATGTAGCTAGTGCTTTGTCTATCCTTTTCTGCACTTTATGTGATCCTGCTTGACCATTTAACATTTTAACCAAGTGTAAGGTCCTTATAACCCAAATCACATAAATTCTTCAATTCAATGAGACGGGTCAATGATTTAGAGAATTTTGATTTTTTCTTCAAATGACCTTGCAATAATGATAAGAGACTATATCATTTAAATTTCCCATTACCAACCAAGGTGAGTCTCCTAGTGATAGATCATTAGAGAGGTCTAACCAGAATTTTTTACGCTGGTTTTCGGAAGGATGTCCATAAATGAATAGAAGATCCCAATTCTTTCCAGATGGATGATCCAAGAGCTGTAGATGGATTAATCTTTTATTGGACTTGATTAGGCTGCATTGAACATCGGACTTCCAACAGCATAATAAACTACCTGAGAAGCCCTCCCCTTCAACTGTTCACAGTTGACTACGTATCACATTTTCACCTTTTACTATATACCCAAGATTGTATCCCTTGTCGAAAGAAAGGTGCGCAAATCTTTTGTCACTACCACCGCTTACATCCTCCTCGTCATCTTGCGTCGACATTAAAACTGCATAAAGCTGTTCAAGTGGTTCAATTGTTGTGTAATACATGAATGGCTAAACTTAAATCCATCCACAAGAAATCTAGACAAGCATCCAAGTTGGTAACTCGTTCAATCCAGCATTCAAGGTAAATGATTCAGTGTTTTTGAACCACCATTGACCCAGATGGTTGGACCATCCAGCCTGGAAACCATCCAGGCAATCAGTTCTGTTTCACCCTTAACCCAGTTCTTGGCCAAAAACCATTGGTTTAGTCAACAACCCGCTGACCCAGTGGTCAAACTGTCAACCCGTGCAGCCTGTTCAACAGTTTCAGCCATTTTTTACTTTTTAAGTTGGAACAGGCCATCTGTTCAAACCTAACAGTGGAATCATCAACCTGGAAACCGGTGACCAGGTCGGTTCTGGTTCTGGGTCGGTTTTTGAAACCTTGAAATGATCTATAGGGTGTAGTAAGCCGAAAACTCCAGAACCTTTAAGCTACGCATTGCCATAGTGTGGTTAGAATTTAGAAACCACCATTCCATTCCATGGTCTTCAACTAATAGCTACTTATCTTATTTGATAGGGAATAGAATACATGATGCTTTTTTAGCCCATTTGTCCAAGCATGTAAAAGAGCTCGATCTATGTAAGTTATTTCATATTCCTCACATTAATCATAGAAAACCATCAATTTTAATATCTTGCTTGCTGCCCCTAGGCACAACTGCACAAGTGCAAACAGCAGCATGGTCAAGTACTGGATACACAGTGGTTCAAAGGAAAAGAAAAGTACTAATTTATTCAACTTGGTTCACAAAAATAACTCCGAGTTACAGGACTAAAGGAGGTCCATCAAGGTTCAATACCTACTTGCACACCTAACAAATAGCTAAAAACCCATGCTTAGTGGTCCAATTTGGGCAGGCTCGGGTTTAAACATTTGCTAGGGCCCGAGCCAAGGGCTCAGGACCAATGCAGAGGAAAATCTTCAGATCAGGTTCAGGCGCTTGACTTGTACACCTAGCCATACTTGTGCATATCAAATGCTCTATGACTCAAGTTCTTCCCAGATCTTCCACTTTTCAAACGAGTTGCACACATTTTAAAATTGCGAAGGAAAAAAGGATAAGAAAAATAAAGACCTGGAAAGGAAAGTAATGAATGGAAACATGAAAACACAAAGGCTTCATGAGAACTCTTTTCTCAAAATATAGTCCATTGCTTCTTCAACAGTGTCAACAACCTGCAACATGCAATACATGAGATAAATTTAGAGGTTGATCTACATGGTTTTAACCTTATGTCTCTAGATACTGTACAGCTATATATTAGACTCATGTTCATGCACCTTGAAGCAGAAAATTTATAACATGAATCGGGAATATGCCTTGTATGCATGAGGAAAAAAACCATTGGAGAATGCTGATGAAGCAGGCAATCCAGATAAACTAGAGATGGATTCCATTGCTTTTGTTCTGTTATGTACATTGTGATAGCATGCAAATCACAGGTTATAAAGGGTATATTCATTTCCCTCTGGCTCTATTGAAGATCTTCAGCAATATATTAGCAAAAATTCACAGTTGAATAAACTTTTAGCATGGGAGGCTTAAAGTTTTTGGAACATCCTTGCACTTCACCGTAGGGAAAGTGAAAATTGCAAACCCTCTCAGAAAAACTATGTATTTTCATATTATGTAGTAGTATAACTTGCTTTTCAACTATAAGAATATATCATTGATGTCAGAACGCACCAGATCTGCTGGAAATTCTGCATGATTTTCTTTTCCCCTGAAAACACCTGTCCTTGTCAAAATAGAAAACCATGGGTGTCCTGCCTGAAAAGCCAAAACTATAACCTTCATCCTTGTATCCTCAACATAATATACAAGTTAATGAACTTTTTAAATCTTACAATGGTGTACATGAATGACTAACAGGAAAACTAAAGTTCTACAGGGACAAACCTGTCTTGCACCTTTTATATCAACTAAAGGATTATCTCCTATCATATATAGGGTTCTGAAAGGATGACCTCCAGCAAGGCCATTATTCACAGCCTGATGGTCATGATGAGAGGATAGCTGAACTTGTCTCAATACAGCTTCTGCGTTCTTGAATACAAAAGGATTTGGTTTTCCAAAACATGTATACTCCAAAGCATGAGGGTGAATTCTGCATGTTTTCAGACAACACACATTGGGCACAGAGCATAATTCCAAAATTTCAACTTTTGTGATGCCAAACATAGTTCTTAAAACATAAGATAGGATTAGTGTAGTTAATGAGGTGAGGCAATAATGATTAATTGTTCTGGCTTCCTTAGTTGATGCAATGACTAGTGTATGAATGTGCCGACTGATAGACTGTAAAAAAGGACTATTCTAAACCTAAGATATTGCTGCAGTCTTAGAACATTTAGCTTATAAATTTTGTTTGGAAAGTATAGAAAAGGAAGGCTGGATAGGCCAAGTTAGGTAGTCAGTCTTTGTTTTTCAGAAAAAGAGTGCAACCTTGACTATTTGGTGTGCCCTTTGTTTGTGGCAACTTCATATTATCCCAACACCAAAACCTCCCTTATCAGATAAGACTAAGCGTGTGTTTTGTTCCATGGGCGTTTCGTGATAGGCATTTATCAAAACGCCACCATGTCATCGCCAAATCAACATTTTTCCATCATGTTCATCCATAGGCATTGATATTCACAAAAGTGGATTTTGATTTATGTACGCACCAACCATTGGGGGAAGCTTCGTCTTAACGCTTCCCCCAACGGTTGAGCGTTTATTCACTGTTCTGCTGATGTGGCACCTAATGGCATAGTTGTCAAGGCAACTAGGTGAGGCTAGGCGACCATGGGGCAACTAGGCATCACCTAGGCGATGAAATCTGACCTAAACTGTTTTATAAATTTGGGAACTAGGAAGGGAGTAGAGTAGGTTCGGCTGTTAAAAATAACAAGTACAGGAAGCCAGTAACTAGGAAGGGAAGACGAAGAAGGAGGAGGAGAATAGGGTTTTCGAAAGAAAAAAAGCATTGAATCTGAGCTGGAAGAAGAAGAAGAGGAAGAATAGAGGTGGAGCCCCTGTTTTTTCAGAAAACAAGCATTGAATCTGGGCTGGAAGAAGAAGAAGAAGAAGAAGAAGAAGAAGGGAGGAGAATAGGGGCAGAGCCCCTGTTTTTTCGAAGAAAAAAAGAACTGAAGTTGGGCTGGAAGAGAAGAAGCCCCTGTTTTTTCAAAAAATAAAGAGCACTGAAGCTAGATTTAGGCGCCCACCTTGTGTTTAGGGGCCCACCTAAGTCTCTGCGTTGGTTGCCTAGTATACAAAACTATGGGCATTTGAGTGAGGCAACACTGTAAAACCGTCTAGTCACCTAGGCGACAACTATGCCTAATGGCGCCTAGTTGTCAATAAACAAGTTTTTTTTTTTTATCAATAACGCATTCATTAGCAATTTCATTAATTCAGGATAAAGATGATTACAAAGAAGAAGACAAGCACTCTTGTCTTCAACATACAGCTAGAGCACTTAAGAAAAGAAAAGGAAATGGAAACAGTAGTTTACAAATTGGCCTAAAACATTGAGTCCCTTTCTACCCCTTGTTTAGGTAATCCATCAGCCAAGGAATTAGCTGATCTTTGAACCCACCTCATCTTCACTTCCATCTCCCTCACAAGCCGCTTAAACCTTTTCCTCTCATTACTGTAATTCCATAGGCTACTGTTGTCTTTATTCAGCCACCCTATTACCACCTCCGAATCCCCTTCAATTATGATTTCTCTGATATTCATCTCTTTAGCTTTCTGTATCCCTTCCATAACTGCATAAATCTCAGCTCTAAGGGAGTCCCCCACTCCAATTGGACCCGATTATAATGCAGAAATGACCCCATTCTCATTCCTGAAAACACCTCCAATCCCTGACTGACTGTCCAGGGTTCCCTCTTCTACTGCCACCAAAATTCAGTTTTAAGAATCCAGCAAGTAGGGGGGGGGGGGGGGGGTCCAAGGCACACTCATTGCTGATTTGCTCTGCGAACAGTTTGCAATTTCTCCCCACTTCCTCAGCATATCATCCACTGTGTAATCTGTAAATAGCACTAAGGATTTCAGCCACTGTACGGCCCTAATATGAATTGTGGCCCTCAGTTCATCAACCCCCTCTCGACTTCTGAGAAGATCCTGGAGTTTCTTTCTTCCCATAGTGACCAACATACTGCAGCCCTCAGTCCCTTCCACATAATCTTTCCTCTTTTCACTGTCCACCTGAAAAAAGAAGGGGATAATAGACTCTGCATGCTTGATGGGGGATTCCAGCTACACTCAAAGAGAGAAAAGGCCCACTCCTAAACAGACTTTGCATATTGGCAAGATACCAGTAAGTGGAAACCAGTTTCCCCCTCCGCTTTGTAGAGAACACACCAATGAGGAGACAAGCAAGTACTGGGTCTCTTTTTTTTTGGAGCAAATCACCAGTATTAATTCTTTCCAGATAGGCTTCCCAACAAAAACTACCAACCTTGGGAGGAATTGGTCTGCACCAAACCTCCTTAACCAGGAAAGGGGGGGGGGGTAACAAGATCAGTGGACTGGCTTAAAACTTTAAAGAAGGAAGCACAAGAAAAAGATCCACTTGGGGTAGGGGTCCAAATTCTAGAGTCCATGTTTGAGGGGTCTAAGAAGACATTATCAAGGAGATCAAGGAGGCTCGAGATACTGTCTAGGTCTGAGTCCCTCACAACCCTTCTCAGACATAGGTTCCACCCAGGCCCAGAATTGGAAGAGGAAGGAGTGATGAAAGAAGAAACTGGCTCATTCTTAAGGTCCGAAAGAGCATACAAAGAAGGAAACTAATCTTTTAAAGGTACAGACCCCACCCAAATCTGTTCCCAAAATTTTATGGAATTACCCGAATTCAAGTCATACTTGATGTAAGGGGAGAAAACTGGTAGCAAATCATGAATTGCTTTTCAAGGAGAGGAACTTGTGGTTAGCTCTGATTCCAGCATCCCTTCCAATTTGCTCCAGCCATGTATGCTTGCCACTATCCTAGCCCACAGCTTCTGCTCCAAAGGAAATCTCCACAGCCACTTCCCCAAAAGAGCCATATTTCTTTTTCTAATGTTCCCGAGCCCGCCCCAACCCACCACAGCTTTTACTCCTAGTCACCACCTCCCATCTAACTCTATGATCCCTCTTCTCCTCTCCCGGCTCCCAAAGGAAGTCTTTCACCATCCTCTCCAACCTGCTAGACACCTTCAATGGGACTTTAAATACTGGCATGAAGTAGATGGGTAAGTTTGCTAGTGTGGTCTTAATCAGTGTAATCCTTCCACGAAGGGAGAGGTAGTTCTTTTTCCAGGATGCAAGTCTCTTTTCAAATCTTTCCACCACCGGGTTCCAAAAGCTCTCTCTTGAGTTATCACCTAGAGGCAACCCAAAGTAATTTAAAGGCCATTCCGAAGCTTCACACCCAAGCACTTCTGCACACTCCCTAATCTCTCTCTCTTCCAAATTCACATCCACTACACAGCTTTTCCCAAAGTTCACCTTCAAATTTGACATTTGCTCAAAAAGTTGTAACACCAACTTCATGTTCCTGATAAAACCCACATTACCTCCTTCATAGAATAGGATTGTGTCATCAGCAAACTGTAAATGGGTGAGGGGTGTTTCCTCCCTTCCAACTCTCTATCATTTGATAAGACCCCTAGAATCTACCCTGTGTATCAACTTCCCCAAAACATCAGCAATCAGAATGAACAAGAAGGGAGAAAGGGGGTCTCCGTGTCTTATACCTCTATAGGCTGGAAAGAAATCTACCATTGTCCCATTCACTAGCACTGAACAATGACAGTTCCAAACACAACCCATGATCCATTTACACCATTTAGCCTCAAACCCAAATTTAGTCATAACCTTCCTCAAAAACTCCCAGTCCACTAAATCATAAGCCTTTTCTAGGTCCAACTAACACACCATCCCCTTCTTTTTATCCTTCTTAAAACTCTCCACCCTCTTATTAGCAATGAGGATTTGGTCTGTAATCTATCTTCCACTCACAAAGGCTCCTTGATTTTGTGCAATGATGTCTGGCAATACCTCCTTCATTCTTAAAGACAACACCTTTGCAATAATCTTATATAGGCTATTAACCAAACTGATTGGTCTGAAATCCTTTGGGCGGGAGGCCTCTTTCTTTTTTGGAATCAAAGTTATGAAGGTGGAGTTCACTCCTGGGTTAACAATGCCTCTCCTATGAAACTCCTCGAACACCAGCAGAAGGTCATCTTTCAAAATATTCCAACAATCCTGATAAAAAGCCATTGTGAACCCATCCGGCCCTAGGGCTTTTGTTTTATCCATAGAAAATGCAGCCTCCTTGATTTCTTCCAGCTCAAACCTTCTTTCCAGCCTTCTCCTATTGTCCATCCCTACATCTAGCCAATCCAACCCTTCTACCCACAGCCCACCACTTATAAGCCTTCTTAGAATGGATTTGAAATGCTCAATACATGCCCTGACAATCTCCTCTTGTTGTGTTAGCTCCACTACCAAAGAATGGAAATACCTGGTGTTCCTATCTCCCTCTTGCAGCCATTTACACCTAGACTTTTGCCTCCAGCAAATTTCCTCCTTATGTAGGCAATCCTCTAATTGCTTTCTCAAGTCTCTTCTAAGTTCAATGTCTCCCTCTCCAAGTTCTCCCCCTTCTTCTCTAGAGTCCAAGCTTTCAATTTGGTCCATCAAAGCTCTCTTACTTTCTTCTAGCATCCCAAACTCTAAAAGATTCCACTCCTTAATCTTTGCTTTCAAAAATTGTAATTTCTTATGGAATCTTGTCCCCTCCCATTCCACAATTGGGTTACATTCATACCACCACTCCCTAACTCTCTCGGTAAACCCAGGATGAAGTAGCCACATATTTTCAAATCTAAACGGGACAGGGCCTCCACTCCTTTCCTCCTTGCCAATTACTATGGGCCAATGATCAGAGGTCACCCTAGGAAGAGCTCTAGATGCCAGATTTCCCCAATGTTCTTCCTAGTCCAAGGAGAACAGGAACCTATCCAGCTTGGAACAGATGGGCCTAGGTTGGAGATTGGACCAGGTAAAAGCCTTATGGGCGAGGGGTATCTCTTTGAGCTCAAAGGTATCCACAAACCTGTTAAA